GAATGGAAAGTGGAGCACAAATGAAAATGTGCCTGAGAGGCTCTGAGACAGGAGGAGAGAGCAGTGGGTTGAGAACACAGATCTATCAAAAAAAGGAAACACGTGGCTATGAAGCTAAAGAAGCTTCATATAAACAACTGATAACGAGTGCTCTCATTCACGTGTTAGAAGACATCTGTCCATATAACAGAGCTGCCATACAGCTAGACATAACTGACTGTTTCTGGTTAAGAGGACATCTCTTGGGAGACCTTTTGCTTCCCTCAGTGTTCTTCAGTGGAAAGGGCCTTCAGTAACTCGGGACAGTCTGACCCATATGTAGTTTCTCCCTTTCTTAAATCGTAAGCCTCAGTGATCTGAGGCCATGTTATTTTCAAGAATATTAGTGTTCAGCAAAATTTCTCATTTAAAAAAAAAAATCCGATCAGTCTAAAATTGCACTTGTCAAGTGAGCTGTTGCTGTATGTGGAATATTCACTCAGATAACTGATACAGCCTTAGTAAGACAGTTCTGCTAAACCCCCAAAATCAAAATTCTGTGTATCTGACCCAATATTGGTAATATATGGATGGAATGAACACCTTCTGGAAGTTGTGGGTAAGTCAATTTTCTTTTTGAATTGTACCTAGGAATAGAACGTGCACAATTTTTTATTACTGGAAAGAACCCAGGTGAATGATGCTTTTACTTGATTGCTATTTCTGTGGTATTTTGGCAGTCTTCCAATTTTGAGGTCGTGGCAATTGTTCCTTTTAATGAAATGAGAAAGTTGTTTACACGAGGCCTTGAAATTTCCAATGAGTAGTTCTCCTACAGTTACAGCGTTGTTAGAGGCCGTAGCGAAGTTGACTTTCAGATTATCTCGGAAGTTCCCATCATATCATTGAACTCTTGCCTATATTATAGGGAATTGTGCAACGCTGCATGTTTCTAACTTACAGTTCTTCTTTCTGTTCCCTTGCAGGTTGTGAAGATATTGCAGATGAATTTAGAGCACAAGAAATTGATGGACAAGCTCTCCTCTTGTTGAAGGAGGATCACCTTATGAGTGCAATGAATATTAAGCTTGGACCTGCGTTGAAAATCTGTGCGCGTATCAATTCATTGAAAGAATCCTAGGGGGAACATGAAGGCTTAAACATCAGTTTTTCTGCGACAGAACCAACAGGAATATGCCAACATCTTCACCGTGGCATGAGTATTACTGTGATGTTTTGTTACAAATATGGGGTTTTCCCCACATAAGAACTTGCAAATATTCCTCTGGTTATGCCATGCAGTTCTCCATAGTTTCCCACAATTAATAGGTTCATGGTAAAGCTTGAGTAACACTTTGAGTTAAAGTGGGAGTTCATGGAAAAACATGGAGTGAAATATGCTGTGATAAGTTAAAATTTCCCAACGTGTACTTATCGTACAAGTTAACACCATTAATCTAAACACCGTTTAAATTCTGTTGCTGTATTTTGGAAGACAGTTTTTCCACACATACAGCAGTTCTTGGACTGAAATAGCAAAAGTGTCCACAGACCCTGTGGAAGCACTGGTAACAGTAAAATGCTATGCATTTAGTTGTGCTCTCTGAGTTTCTTTTAGTCTTGAGCAAATTGTTTGAAGGGATAGGTTGGCAGCCTTTTTTTCTTGTGTAGGCTTACCCTCATCTCTGCCACTGTAGTATTTTCTTTAAGTCTGGGAATACTGTAGACCGTTCAGGAGTCTCATCAAAATCCTGGCTGTCAGGCTACTGAAATGCAATGGCATGACACTCTTGCCAGAGGTGACTGAAGCACATATGTTACTTCACTCTTTGTATGCTGCTATGCACTAAGAGGGCATTAAGTTGTTAGGTTTCTAGTTTCGCGTGCTGCTAGTTAAACTAGACCAGCAGTTCTCAAATGGGGGTTCAGAGTGGGTCCTGAGAAGGTGAGAGAACACTTGGGGTTCAGGTTCCCAGGTGTGAGGGGCTGAAAACTGCAGCCAGGACTAGCTCATGTTGAGAAAAGTATGCTCGAAGAACTGGAGAGACAGTGAAAGCACTGAGCGTTAGCATGGCTCAGTGTTTTTCTCTTCCAGACCTCCTTTTTCATGCCGTTTTCTTTTCTAAACCATCTTTCACTGTAGTGCACCTCTTGTCCGCTGGCTAATGTGAGCTGGGGTTGCAGTAGTCAGAGGAAGGAGACTGATGAGGAGCTCAGTGAGGTCACATCAAAGCTCAGCAAAAGAGAAGCTAGTACTGTGGAGGGAGGGAGGGAGGGAGCCTGGAGCTTATGTGGGTAGAGGAGTGCCACAGCCAGGTAACCCTGCAAGAAATCTCCAGGAGCCTTGCTTCTGTGCCTCAGGCAGGAGCTTTTCACTTGAACAGTGCAGAGCCGGGTACTTCTTCACTTTCTTCTTTGGGGTAGAGGTAGACAGTGTCTCTGTTTGTCTTCCCTCTCTCTCATTTTGTGCAGAAAAAGTACTTGTCCCCCAAGTTACTGACACCCTCAGAAGTGTCTTGGGCTCTGAGGCAGCAGCACCTTCCCAGCCTTTGCTTCTCCATCACCTGTGTACGGATGTGTGTGAATATATTCTTTACCTTCTGTTCCCTTCCTTTTGCAGCTCTGCTCCCTATAGGTACAGCCCTGAATTCCCAAGCTCTCCTATAGGGAAAG